TATGGGATCCATGAAAAATTTTTCGGAAGAAAAATGTCCTAGGGCAAATATCTTGATACAGAACTGTACGATATGATTTATGTAAAAATAAAACAAAACAAAATGAGTTAGTGTGAGGATGTGGTTTGAGATTAAAAATATTTTTTTGTTTTGTTTTTATATTACATACAACTTTTATTCCTATACATTTTTGGTGGGTGAGGCTCTGCTTAAGGTTATCTTCCTAGGCTTATTACATGCTTGGTTTGAGTTGTCGTGCATCTAAAAGTTCTCAAATTATTTTTTATTGTCGTCCATGCTGGACTAGTAAGGCACCCCAATCCTCACCCATTATAGGCTACGAACGAAAATGGTTCAATTTAAGTAAAAGTATTTCGCTTGCCATTATGGAGGTTATCATCTTACAAGGGTATAAATACTTTACTTCCTTCTATAAGGGATGGAGCCCGGATATAGAGCTCATGCATTGAGGTGTATCATGTCATTATGTGTGTACATGTTTCCTAATCTATCAAGAGTAATATACATAGTAAAAGAAATGTGTGTGAATTTTTTCTTTTTATTTTTGATTTGTTTTATTTTTTACCCTTTTTTATTGAAAGTGAAAAATAAAAATCTAAGAAACTGATTAGGACTGTTTAAATCAAAATTTAAGGATAACATGTAATTAATTTTGGCATAACTCTCAAAAATAAATGGCATCTCCAGCGAAGTCGCCAAGCTGTTGTAACGGTTTTGTGTTTGTTCGATCAATTTAAAAATGAAATAAAAACATAACGGAGTCACCACCAATCTTTTTGGGCTAAGTGCGATTGGCCATCTATTAAAATTTATCCTTTTAATAAAATATTAAAATTTATTAAAAAGATAATTTTATGGTTTGCGAAACAGTCTAAATTTGATAGTCGATTACGCGTGGGGAAGGATTAGCACCCCCACAGTGCCTGTTTAAAACGGTACCATTTAACTACGTGTTATCCTTTGATTTTGACAAAAAACATCTTATTTTCGGTGTTTAAAAAATAATTTTTTTGATTTTTTTTCATTTGTTGGAAATTATCTTTTTATTTAATTTTATTTAGTGTTCAAATTTATTCGAGAAAAATAAATTAGAACCTTGTTATTGAAATAATTCCTAAAATGTTCCAGTACGTTTGTAACATTATAAGAATTCCTTCTTACTTAGAGATTTCTTAGGCATCACTTCTCGAAATACCTTAGAAATCTCATCTTTGGAGGCTTGATTTAGTTTTCACAAAAACTTTATTAAACATGCAATGCAAAATGCTGATATGCTAATGCAAGTATTTTATTTTTTAAATTTTTTTTAATTTTATTTGATTTCTTTTTTATTTAAAACTTTGAAGAAAAAGAAAATTTTATTATATTGAAGATTTTCTATAAATATTCCAATACACTAGTAATATTTAAAAAAATTTTCTCACCTAGGGATTTCTTAAAGCATCTCTACTCAGAATACTTTTAAAATCTCATCATCGAATAAAATTTCTTTTTTTTTTCATTTCTATTACTTATTCTTAATTTATTAGTTAATTATTATTTACTATTTTATAACAAAAGAAAATTTTTATTATATTAAAATTTTTTAATAAATACCTTAATACATTGACAGTATTTAAAAAAAATCTTCTCACCTAAAGATCTCATAGGTATCACTACTCGGAGTACCTTTGAATCTCATCGTCGGATAAAAATTTCATTTTCTTATATATTTTTCATTAATTGTATTATTATTATAAAGTTTATTATTTATTATTTTTTAAAATTTTATTTTAAAATTAACAAAATTATAAAAATTTTAACTATATAAAAAATTATTCTAACAAATTTAAATATTTTAGTATGCATAAATATTATAAAAATAATATATAAAAATATTTTTAAAAATTCTAAAAAAATTTTTTTTTACCTGAACTGGACCGATCAATGATCCAATCAATGCGGGTCCAATTGGTTTGGCGGCTTAGTTCAGTCCAATTGGATCAACGATTCAACGCCAGTATGGGCTGGTTCAGTTGGACTAATCAGGGGCCAAAGATAACGGGTTGTCGGGTCGGATGCACGGATCTCGAGTCGGGTTACGGGTCGATGCGCAGATCTTATGGGGTTGAAACGACGTCGTTTTGATTCTTTCCTAAACGGCATCATTTTGAAGGCATATTTAAAGGTGAAATAAGCTTTTTTTTTTGTTTTCTTCTTTCTCTTTCTCTCTCTTCTTCTCAAACATTTTTTCTCACTATCTAAAATCCAGAATTTGGCAACTGCTTCGCCGTGCCAACACTGTTGGTGGTCGCTGATTGCCGTCTATTGGTCACCCAAAAAAAACCAAAATCTCCAAAATGAATGTTCTCAACCTCCTGAGTTTAGATCCGAGCCTAATTTTATGAAAAAAGGGCTCAAAACAGCAGAGATTCGGCTTGAAAGGTTTTAGCCAAACTAGCTTTTCTTGTTTCTGTGGTTTTTTTTTTTTTAGACTGGCACTTTGGTTTTCATTCCAGGGACTGTTTGTTTGCTTGTATTTTGGTGTTTGATTTTTTTCACATGAAGTTTTTTTTTTTTGGGATCTAGTAGTGAGAGACTTTTTTTATCTTTTTTTCTTTTGCAGGATTTCTGGGCTTCTCCTTTTCTTTTCTCCTCGTTGGTGTTTTTACAACTCTATTTATAGAGCAAAAAGAAATATCAAAATCTCAAAAAATTTGAGATTTTGATTGCCTACGATTAGGGCGGCTATCAACTATCAGAACGACTATCGGTAGCTGCCAGAGCCACTGGTAACTTACAAGCGACTGTCAGAGCCATTGCTAGTAAAAGAAAGAAAATAAAAGAAAATAAATAAATAAATAAACAAAATAATAAAATTGTGTCTACAATAAGTGTTGGTATAAGAAGATTATGATCTATTTAAAAATATATTAAAATAAATCTAATAACAGAGTCTCTTCAATGTAATAAGTGAATTCTTTGAATATTTTTTAGGTGAAAAAATTTTCAGTTATACCAAAAGTGTCGAAAATAATTTATAAAATTTTTTATAATAAGAAAATAAAAATGATAAAAAAAAGTATAAGACTATTCAAACAAGATCATTCTAGGATCATATAAAATTAACTGGTATCGTCTTTGGATGGGCGTCGTGGGGATGCTATAACATTTTCTGCACGTAATCATACTCTCAAACCCAACCTCAAATTTGTAAACCAAAAATAGGATTAATGACCAATCACACCTCAATAAAAAAAATTGGTAACAACTCATTGACTTTTACTTCTAGCGATCGAGTCCCCAAATGAAAAATTGTTATGACAATCATTTACCAATAAATTTATTGTTTCCAATTTTTTCTCTTTATTTTGTGAGTTTCATAAATTTTATTGATGACTATTTTTATGAAGAAATAAAAGAAAATTGAAAGCATATAATATATTAATATAAACATGTAAATATTATAGTAAAAATAAAAATTATCAAAGGTTATAATAGACAAAAATTAATATAATAAATCATTTCATTCCTTTTTTCATTATTTAACCAAAAAATGGTTGTTAGAATTTTTTTATTTTATTTTATTTTATTAATTTTAACTATTCAAATAAATAGTACATATATCATTGTCTTCTTTTACTTTACTTTACTTTTTTTTTTATTAATATTTATCCACACATAGCATTAATTTAAGAGAAAGAAAAGAGGTAGAAAGCCAGTAACCTTTGATTCTTTTTGTAATTTTCACTTTTTTAATACTTTAATTTGAAAGAAAAATTAAGGGAAAAAAAGTTTTAAAAAATTTATTTTTATGAAAAAATTATTATATCCATATTTTTATTATGATATTAGATTTGATTATATAACTTATACATTCTACAAAAGTAATTTTTTTATGAGTATTTTATATAACATCATAATTTATAAATATTTTATGATTTTTTAAATCTTAACAACAAAACAAGTAAAATTATTATCAAAATAAATTAAAAGATTGAATTAAACATAAAATTAAGAGCAAATCAATGATTAGTTAATACATTTTATCGTATTAAATATGCTCAATTTTATTTAAAAATATTTATTTATACAAATTAGGTAATATAAAAATATATTTATATATTATATGTTACTTTATTAAAAAAATTATAATGAATCATTTTTTTTTCATTATTTATCCAAATAATAGTTATTAAAATTATTTTTTATTAATTTTAATTGTCCAAACAATAATAAGTATATGTGCCATTTCTTTTTCACTAAAAATTTTTTCTTTTATTTTATTAGTATTTATTCAAACGTATCGTTAATGAATGAATTGCTGCGTATGTTTAAAACTGAATAATTGCTTTCTTTTTTCTTGGACAAGGATTTGATGCAATATTCTAATTTTATGTTGTTTTACTTTTAGGTTTCGTAAAAACTATCCTCAACGTACTTAATTCTAATTTCAGGCCAAAATAAATATTCTCATGGGGTAAGCCTGTTTTCATGTTCGTTAATTTTGTGGAAACTATCTCGTAAATAAAATCACTCTATAAACTAAAAAAATATCTCATGTATTCTTCCGGTTTCAGCTCGCCATAAATTTAGTGGAAGATATAGGCTAGATTTGGATTTCATAACATTTTTAGTACAATACGGTTAAATTCATTGCATCATTAATTAAATTTAAATATTAATTTTAATAAAATTTATTCAGTATAAATTTTTTTCAATCATAATTATAATTATAATAATTTGTATTATTATTTTCAATTTTATTGTTTATTTAAATGGAGTAGTAGCTGCTTCAGGTACCGCTACCGCTACCGCAGATGGATCCAACATTAGCGGGGCATTCACTCGGGTTTATCATTATGTCATTCAACCCAAGAAAATGGGTACAAATTACATGCCCTGATCCAACCTATTCGGCCCATTTGAAGAAACAGAAATTCCCCAATTTTTTAAATTTATTAGTTCGTTTGATAGATAATCAGAGATTAGAAGAATTAATTATCCTTTTAAAAAGCGTTAAACCCTGACAAAAGCCATTATTAATATCCCTAAACTGACAAAAGCAATCTTACTTTTTCCCTTACAAATTCAACTCCTTGGGGAATGCGGACACCAGAAAAAAAAGAAAAAGGGAATGAATTCTTGCTCAGGAAGAAGGCCGAGAATCATGGCTTCCTCATTGTCATTATCTCATGATACCATCTCCGACATCCTCTCTAGATTACCCGTCAAATCCCTTACCCGATTCAAATCCGTTTCCAAAAACTGGGCCCACCTCACCTCCGTCCCTGCTTTCATCTCCGCCCATCTCCGCCGATCTTCTCCCGAACCATCTCTTCTCATCCGCCGCTACAACACCCAGTCCGGTTGGGGCTTCGGGATCGGGTTGATCACTAACCCGACTCAAAATTACCGCAGCCAGCTCTTGGATATTCCCTTGCTAGAATCACTTCTTCGGTTTCCGAAAATCGTGGGTTCTGTCGATGGTTTGGTTTGTCTCGATGTTTCGCCTTGTTATGCTTCTGATTTTGTTTTGTGGAACCCTGGAACTAAGCAATTTAAACGCCTCCCTTTTCCTTTGATTACTTCCACCAGAAGTAACCCTATTTGGTTGGTCTTTGTTGGGTTCGGCTTTGATTCTTTCAACAATGATTATAAACTAGTCAGGATCGTTTCTTTTAGAGGAAATGATGTGTCGCCTTTTCTAAGGGTTGAAGTTTATTCATGGAGGGAAGGGGTTTGGAAAGAAATAGTAGAGAGTTTCAACTTAGCTGTGTTATGTGGAGGACAGGATGGAGTGGTTGTTGATGGTTGTTTGAATTGGGCAGCCATTGGATTACAAAGATCTGCCGATCGAATTGTTATTTCCTTTGATATGGGAACAGAGGTGTTTAAGACAATACCATTGCCGCCCGTTACTCGATATGGTAACATGAAAGTTATGTCTTACATGGGATTATTGGCTGTTGCTGTATATCCATTAGTTTTTGCTGCTAATACTAATAATATGAATCGATTCGAGTTCTGGGTACTGAGTGATTGTGAAGATGGGATGAAACATTGGACTAATGTGGTTGTGATGGAGAATTTTTCAAAGTCTTTGGTTCCGATGGGGACTTGGAGAGATCGTGAACTGGTGATTAAACATATGGGTGATAGAGATAGAGAGAATCACCCGAGTCTTTTGTTGTTTGATCCAGTTGATGATGGAACTAAAAGGCTTCCAGTTGATTGTGTTGATTTCTGTTTACAAGGTTACAGTTATGTGGAGAGCTTGGTGTCAGTCAATGGAAGAAGCAAAGATGGTAGTGGAGCATAAGCATTCCAGAAGTTAGGTCGGTTTGGGATTTTGGTCCTTTTTAACTTGCTTTGGCTCTTAGTTTTAGTAGGTATAAATTGGTAGACTTTAGTTGAAACATCTTTTTGTTTGATAAATGAATATGGATGGATGTTGAGCCCATAATGATGCTTTCTGACTTCAATTTTTGGTATAATTCGTGGTGAACTTAGCAATGGACAAGAATGAGTTGCTCTTTTCTGCAATCGTATATGTTCTCTGATGAGGCCCTACATTATTTTTGCTTTACTTCTCTATATGCTTATGTTGTATTTCCTTTCGTTCCATTCATGCTCAATGTAGAGGAAACTGGATTCCAGACCCTGTTGGTTGTTGCGTATGGAAATGGTATATAGCCAAAGCCGATTGCCCACTCTTGTGGGTGATGGTGCAGGAAAACTTTGCAGTGTCCACGGGCTATTGGTGAATGGTTATCTCTCCCAATAAATTGATGGCTCTTTGAGCAGCAGGAAAGAGTAGCCTAAATGTGTATAGGTCACTTACAAACTGGACCTCCTCAATAGCTTGGAGGTTTGGGCTGCGTATTCATAATTCTCTTGGAGCTTAAAATTTTGGCAGGGGAAACAAACTGTGCTTTTCTTTTCTGGCTACAAACCTGACCTTGTCCCCTCTTCTTTTGCACCAACTCTGACCTTCAGTCACTTCCACTGACTTCTCCTTGCTTTACGATGAAGGAACTCTAATCCAAAGTAATCCAGAAACACCCTTCGACTCCTATTCAAGTTAAATCCAAACTTTTCTTGCAGTGGCCTACTCTGCTTTCTCGGTAATTTTGATTTTTCTTTAATCTAGTGCCACCCTATGACAAGACAGCAAAGATACAATTTTAGCGAAACCGTAAGCTGGACTCCCAATTTACATTTTCCGTTGTTTATGCAAAACATCTCAACTTACTACTGATGTTTGTGTCCCATCCAGAAGTCAGAATACTCTGAAAGCATATAATTGGATAACCTTAAAACTCTGGAAGCATAATAGATAGGACTCTGCCTAATGAATCACTCTTTGAAAAAAATATATCTATTTTCTCCCTCTCCTATTTGGGATTCTTGGTTTACTAAAAAAGTTCTTTCCTTCTTCTCGATAATGGACCACAGGGAGCGGACAGCAATCTCCCCTGTTTTGAAAACCCTCGTTTTTCTTGAGCTTGATTCTTACTGTAATTTTAAAGGGAACTTTTCTTTCATTGAATAATATGAAAAAGTCCATGACAAATGCAGAAAGATGGAATATCCCACCCCAAATCCCTATTTCTCTGTAAGCAACTGGCCGACTGGGCTGGACAATCTCAAAAGGTTTCTTCTCCCACCCAAGATAATTTATTTTGTCAATGTTACGTATTTCAGGCTAGCAGCTTAAAATAGGAGGAAACATTATGGATTAGTTGCAATTGTTTTTCACATTTCCCTTTTTTTTTTTTTTTTTTGAGAAAGGTTAGAATTCATTCATAACTCAAAACCACATCAGTGTCTGCAAGGAATTTCAGAAAAGTAGGACATTCTTCAAACCAATATTTCTCATCCTGTACCATCAGACTTTGCCTTGCTAATCAGTGAGCAGCCTTGTTTCCAGATTTTGTAAAATGATTAACCTTCTACTCATCAAACTTCTCCATTTTTCCTCTGGCTTCTACGATCAAGTTCCCAATTGGAGATAAGTTTCATGCCTACTCTGCAACCGGTTAACCACCGTTAAAGAATCCCCTTCCAGTGTTATTACATGTAGTCTCAGTTCTTGGCAAAATCCAAAGCGTATATGCTGCAAGGCCTTCAACAGTGAACGGGCTTGTCATCCCAGGTAAACAGTTGTGGCGTGCACCAATAACATTCCCTTCCCAGTTTCTGACAATCACCCCAATACCACCCAGTTTCTTCATTTTGTCCATCGCCCCGTCAAAGTTTATTTTGTAGCAACCGTTTACCGGAGGTTTCCAGGTGGGATGTTGTTGCCCGTGCTGACATGCAATCTGCTGTTGGACTTCATAATTTCTGCTAAATAATCCTTTGCAAATGTACCTGACATCCCTGGGTCTCTTCTTTGTTCTCCATGTACTTCACGGTTCCTATCATTCCATATAGTCCATGCTCCTACCATAAATAGCTGAAGCTGTTTTTTTGTCAACTTGGTCATCACTTCCATCAACTAATCCAAAATATCAGTCTGCTGATCAACTGTTTCATCCCATTTAAAGCTTAAAGCTCCCCACATTTTGCTCGCCCAGGTGCATTCCTTCACCGCATGGAGAGTGGTTTCTTCCTCTTTACCAAACCTCGGACATGGGCTCGAAACTGGAAACCTCGGATAACTTGGATTTGTCCAAATGGACATTTTGGAAACCTCGGACAATTGAACTAAACGTTTACTGCTGTTGAACTGTTTTTCAAATTTCTATGTGAATAAAAATTCCACTAGTTCCTAAATGAACAAAAGCAGATCAAATTCTGTTGATACATGAGCATAGCTCTTGGCAACAATAAGTCAATACGGTGCAAAAGAAACAGACCAAAAGTTTCCGGCAGACTACAGAAAGGAACAACAAACAACTAAATCTGGAAAATGTAAATACTGCTACTGAACGAAACTTGAGATTTTCTCTCGCACTGTTGTTATCAAGACTTCTATGATTCTATGCTTCTGGTAAAGCTTGTCTGAAAATTATTTTTCTCTCTCTTCACGGGAAATTTGGATCATAACACAATTGAGCACTGCAAGCCTCAATTGCAGGAGATGGTTCCCCCCCATTAGTAAAATGTCAAGACGAAGGATGGGCAATTTCATCAACACGGGCTCGAAAGTCTATAAAATCCAAATTGTTCTGTTTTTGAATGATCCGTTGATAAGATATAAATAAGTTATCCACAATCGAAGACATTAAGTTCAATTGTTGACGGGGAAAAGAGTATTTGTAATCAACAATAGTAAAAGTTTTTCCTCGGTTGCCATTTTCGTTTTATGACTAAACAGATAGGGTCGTTGTTTTGAACAGGGAAAGGTCGACAATTGAAAAGAAATGTTCATGTCCGGATATCCCTGTCCTAATCTCCTAGCGTCCTTTTACTAGAACATGATTAAACGCAAACACGGAAACTTTTTCTCATAATTTGTGGATGATGGTGAGGGGGAGTGATGCTTCTTCAAGGATCCTATAGCATAGATAGCACTTTTAGCAATCATGAATGGACAGGTGTGATAAATTGCAGAGCAATTAATTACCCATCGGATGGATGATAAAGGCCTGCATCCAACACAACTGTTGATGATAAATTAAACAAGTTGAGAATCTTTGAATGGATGCAAATGATGGAGATGGGAATTCCCAATTAACCATGCAGCTGGCAGATTAGGAAGTCAGTAACTCGCCCTTTTTTTTTGCACAGAAGAGAAGATTATAATTTTTTTAAGTCACCAAGAATTTCTTATGAAGAACTTTTAACTACCAAATTTTAAACAGTGAAGTAATTTTGTATAATGATTTGCACAATCCACAACAATCATATACTTCTGGGGGATGCCCTGATGGTGATCGTGGAATTTCTCTAAAATTGCCAGACAGCTTAAGTATGAGAACCTGAGTTTGTCCTTCTTTTTTATAAAATTGAAGATAATAACTCTCGTGGCTAAATCTCACGTACCGCAAGATATATATATATAGATAATATCTGAGATTAGTGCCTGATAAACGTGATTCTGATGTCAAGCTAGTGGCTACCTAGATTCAATCAATCAGACACAAAAAAGGACCATATGAAACATGAACTAACTTAAGCTTTTAACCCTGCCCTGGTGTTTCCAACCTAATGGCGTAGGTGCTGACAAATCTATATCTTATAGGGTGTGCTCCGTACGGACAGAATTGACCGTATACTCGAAACAGATATATAGGTCACGCTCACGCAATAAGGAAAATTAGAAGAAATTTCGTAAAATGTAGAAAAATGGACACCGGAAATGGTTTCATTATCCGACGACACCATTTGAGAGGGTGAGTAGCACTGTGGAGTTACCCGCACATGTATGATTTATTCTTGGAAATGAAAATTTGAATTGATTGCTTTGATTGCTTGCTTTTTTTTGTTTCTTTTTTTTTTTATTACCTTTTAGATCATCAATAAAAAAAAATAGGATAAATCAATAGTAAAATAAAAAAAATATTGATGCTGTAAATTATAAATGGTTAGCATTTCATGAATCTAGATTTACCAAGATGGGTAAATGATTCATATAAATTCATGTATGCTATATGATCAATTTCCAAAAGTAAGAGCTAAAATGCACAACACCAAAGGATGGAAAATTGGGTCATCTCTCTTCCATTTACATAACTAGATCTTCACCCATATAACTGGGAACTGGAACAAACAATTATATATATTAATCAAATCATTTGCCAATGATCACATAAAAACCAGAAGGATCATGTCCAACCAAAAGTCCAAACTAAAGAGACACCCTAACATGCAGCTTTGTAGAACGTTTATGATCACTTTTCTTTTCCCTCAACCATTTTCCAGACTCGTTGTATTTGGAGGACCCTAACAACGCTAGTAATGCAAATATATATCATCTAATTAGTAGAACTCTGGTTGAAGCATTTAATATTCAAGTAGGGTAATCCTCGTCAAGTAGAGATTTATCCTTGACTTTTTTTTCATTATTAAAAATTAATAATAATCATAATGGTTGAAACAATTTTCTATACAATAAATATGATTTGTGAAGTCAAGTTGTCACTCTTTCAATCACATAATATGGTAATTGACCTCACATCAAGATAATATATATTGAAATTAGAATTTAATTAAATTGATTAATACAATCATCCTTAAGAGATAGTATCTAATAAATTTAAAATTTTAATTTTAGTACTTATAATTTTTTTTTCTATTTCTAAATTGTGACATCTTTTGTATAAAATGAAAATCAGATAACGTTTGACATAAATGTGATACTAACAAGATTCTAATGTAGGAGACAGTCTCTAGTAGCAAGTTTCAAGTGCAAGAGTGCTAGGCGCCCTTGTGGTCCGAATCCAGGGCCATGAGCAAATGAACCAAGCTCCACCTACCTCATCTGTTCTCCTTGTGCTTATTTCTCCTTCAACAGGTTGTGGTTTCTACAAGGAAAGATGGTGGCATTAGTAAAGCGACACAGGATGAAACTGTGACTCCATTGTACCCTACTTCGAATCTTTTATTTATTATTATTATTAATTTGATAAATTTGTCGTTTTCTTTTCCAGCAAATAAACAATTGAACACGGCACATGAACAGGTTGGTGAAATGTGTACATAATGTTAAAGGAGGAAGATGACGAGCCCTTTCAAATCCAAACATAAAAGCCTACAGAAAATTATTTACAAGGGCCCTTTTTCCTTTTTTTTTTTTTCCAATAAATAGTACAATCATAGGCAACCAACAGCTAGTTTAAGTGCACATGAACATTAAATTCAATGTTTGATAAATGATTTCTTGTAAAAAAAAATAAGATTTGAATTTTTTTTAAATAAAATAATAATTAAAAAGTAGCTTAATTAATTTCATACAAATAAATATAAATAATTACAAGAAAAGAAGAGCTAAGGTGGTAGAGCTAATATTTGTAATTAACTAGAGATGATAAATGTTTGAATTGGATTTAATTTAATTTGATTTTTTAAATAATACGTAAAATTATGAAATACAATTCAAATTTAAGCTAAAACTTTCATATAATTTGATCCAAAACAAACTTTATCTCTTTTATTCAATTTGGTTCATTGATTTTTAAACTTTTTTTTATTTATTATTTTAATATGATTTTTAATATATTTAAATAAATTTAAGTTTAAAATAATTTTTTATTTTATAAAAATTTAAAATATATAAAAATTTTAATAAAAATATATAATTCAATTTTGTTTGATTTGATTTTTTTAATTTTTTGATTCAAAATTCGATTTGAACCTAATATATATTTAATATATAAATTTAATCAAAATTGAATAAAATATTTATTCAAACCAAATCAAACATTATAAATTTGATTCGATTTTTGAATTTTACAAGT